TACATAGTACGATACATATAAAGTAAATGTCTCAGTGACTGGACATGTCCCAATTTTCGACATTGCATTACCAAAACAGTTATTATTTAATATTTGTAAATATAAAACGCAGAAATAATATTTTAAAAAAACGTTAGTAAATTAGGTTTGTATACAAATATCTCAGAATAACATGACAACACTCGTAAGCGAGTAGACAAGAGCAGAAAAGTTCTTTAATTTTGCAATTTTCGCAATAATTATGGTGAAATTAATTTAAAACAATTGACGAATAAGCGCACGTTTCACGTGATTTGACTGTAAGATGTATTCGAGGTATTGCGTGTGCTAGGAGAGCCAGCGGCAACTGTCGTAACGAAAAGTAAAGCTTCTGCCTGCTCATTGCTCGCATGTCACTTTTATTTTCGCCGACCGACCAAACTTTTCGTTGCCGTGTAATAGTCGCCGCTGTCACGCTTAGAGCGTACCTCCTATGGTTCAACGAAACGCACGCTCATTCGCCATTCTTTTTAATTAATTTCTCCATAATTATTGCAAATATTGCAAAACGGTAAAAAACTTTTCAGTTCTGCTTACTGTGCTCTATCCGCTTATAAGCGTTGTCGTAATTACTCTAAGACATCTTGTATAAAAAGAATTGAAAATTGTTGCGTAATATTTAATTACATAATAATTACCATAATGAGATAATATGAAATAATAAAGTTATTTGCGAGACAATCAATTTGTAATCATAACTTTGCTTTTATTTCTGTTAAATAAACTTTAATCTTTAACATGCGCATAAAAAGATGAAAAAAATATTAAATGTCCGGCTACTGGGGACATTTACCTTATCCCTGAATTTCATACTGCAATTATCACAATCGATAAAAATATTGAACGACGTTGGTAGCTAATTGTAATCATGCATTTTAATTCGTCAGGCAAACTTTACAAGTTCTTCTGTCACTAATTTGTTTAAATGTATAATTGCTTCTCGATAGCTCGTTAGCCTGCGCACAAATTGCAAACGACAACATTTGATGTTCATCTCTAAACTTTGTTCGTTTGATAGCAAACTGATAAGTTCGCAAACGACGGGCTTATAAAGCAATGAAAGGAGCTTTACAATCACGGAAAAAATGTTCTACTTATCCGGCGCTCGATTTCCATATCTATCGTCGCATGTAAATATGCGACTAAACAAGAGCCTCTGCGTGCCTGTAACAGGTCGACTTTCATTCAGCTCGATTTAATACCTATTTTTAAATCCCGTGTTTCGTGAAAAGCAAATGCCCCGTAGTCTATAAAAAAGGAAAAAAAAATTGCTACAGACGAAAAACTCTGTCATTGTGTCAACGAAACGTAAAAGTAAAAGTGCTAGTAACAAGGAGAGACTCCCCGAGGTTAATTAGCCTCGAATAGCAGATGCTACCACCAGTATAGTTCCCACGTGAAAATACGACGTGTCGAAAAAAAAGATTTCAATGCTGTGACACATAACACATAACTCATCAGAACAAAACACAACAATACAAGTTTTTTACAATATTCTGATCACTGTCACGACAACTCATAATTGTTTCAAAAATGAAATTTTAACCACATCGACATTGATATCATAAAACTACTTTGATATCGAAAAATATAATCAAATGACAAAAAAATCTTTGAATATAAATATTAGAAAGCAAACTGTCAGTTATTTTATCGCTTATTTTCGGGTATTTTCGTGCAAAGGCCTAAATAATTAAATAGAAGGATTTTATAGATAATATACTAACTATACATGATAGGCATGATGGATCGCATAACGGATGCCAATCAATTATTATACGGATAGTCAAACAACCGCTATTTCTGTGTATTGCCGATAATTACAGTTTATAAATTATGCGAATCCTATTTATTGGATACGTACACGATGTACATATTTATAATATATTGAATAACGTTCGTCGCTTTGAAACCAAATGAAAATTACAAAGATAGTCGAATAATATCGATCTGTGAAATTCCCACGTCTCTCAAATCTTTCACTGACTTTGAAATATTTATTAGCAGAATGTTAATCACTTTTCAGATATATTAAACGCCGTTTTATATATCACTAAATAATTAAGATATAAAGAAAGTCATTATTAACCGCTTCGTTAATAGCAATGCAGTAAGTCATCGGGTCACAGACCTCTTATTGATCAAATGATTAATGGATTATTCAAATATTTATAGAGCACATACCCGTAAGTTCAGCAATTAATATAAAAGGATCTCTTTACGCTGTGTTCTATATTACTCTGAACAATTATAGCAGTACGATAGGCTATCATTAGAAAACATGACCTCAAAACAGAATAAAAGACTTGTCGCGCAAAAATTTATTTAAAAAGTTCAATTATCTAAATTAAATTTTACGTAATTATACGTTAAATAAATTAAAGTTTGCATTAATAACGATATATGAATACGCAATATTCATGATGACATAATGCTATATATGTATATGTATTACAGATGTTGCCATAAAGTGCAATATGCACCATAATGTTACTAATAACTTTTCCGATACTAAAGCTCAATTTGCCTCCAAGAGAATGTGACCTAAATAAAAATTTCAATAGCTAAATCAAATTTAAAGTAAAATTATAAATAGCCTACTATAAAAATAACAGCGTAGAGAAACGAATTTACATTGCGAATTTTCTCCGTCTCAAGTATCAAAGTTCCGACAGCATCTGTCTAAAATACAAGAAGCTAAAACGTACTCAACGGCGGATCATTTGCTCTTAAATATTACACGCAATCGATCAAAGTCTAACTCAACCAACGATAATCATGCGCTTATTTCTGTCAATAATAAGTGCTGTCTCGACAGGGCATGCAAATAGAATGTAACGGCCAGTAGGGAGAGCGGGGTCTCGTGAACAAACACAACTCTGTCAATAGATAATTTACGAAGTAAAAGATATTAACATAATTATCCGGAGGCGCTGGTCGCGTTCATCCAAGTATTCGTAATTCAATACTAACGGTAGATCAATTTCAGCGAAAATACGTACAAGCCAGCCACGTACAACATAATGTCAATTTGAATCCCGGTCCGTTGTAATTTTACAAACAATTCTCCCGAATATCGCGAACATGTAACATGTAATTACGCACTCTCATTACGATGCGTTCAACGTTCAGTAATCATTGTTATCTCGTTTTCTCACGACTATTTGTTTGTACATATAATTAAATTTTTTTCATTATTATTATATTTATATGTTATTTTCATCGTTTATAAACGATCGGAGGAGATACGTCTGCTAATCCTATTCGTACTGCAGTTTGTGTAAAATTCGTAAAGAAAATAGTAATAAAATGTTACAAGCTTCCATTATTCAATAAACATTGCAATCACAATAGTGAGAAATTTATTTCCTGCAATTCTTTACGACAGCATTATCCCGCTATTCTACATTTGCAGCGGCAAATGAAAGAAGTGATTGCTCGCGAATTAATAGAACTTTCAACGGGCGCGAAAATGTCAGTAACGCGTCAGCAGAAAGCCCCAGGAGTCGCGTTGAAAGCAACCAATTCAAATGCATAATTATTAGCTAATTAAATCACAGTACGCGAGTATAATGACAGCCAGTTGCGGCGAGAAATTTTACCGAATGCGTCAACGTGATAAAAAACAACCGAAATAATGCGAGTACCGCGCGGAAACGTGCGCGCGACGTATAAAAGCATCTTCGCGCTCTGGAAATCGTACATAAAGCAGAAAACGCGTATCGCACACAGGGACTGATGGCTCGTCACCGCATTATATCGATACTCGATATCGAGCTTGCTCCTTTTTAATGGATACGTCGATACGCTGGCACCTCCGACACGCTTTTATGGCAATCAGTCAAAGCCGTAAAACCGGCTGTATTGGACGACGCGCGATGTCGAGAGGTCTAAAGTCGTAATGGACACCATCATGCTTCACTTGAATTGTATTTAATTGCTAACCGATTTATTCCATGCTAAACGCGTCGATAGAAACAGTTTTTATCTTCTTTCTTAATAAATGTTTAATAAAATATACGCCGCTGATATATTTTTTTATATGCCTCTGATTTACTTAAACAGATATGAAAGATTATAAGAAAATTTAAAACATGCCAAAAAAATAAAGTTAGATTACAATAAGTAAAAATCAATGTAAATAATAACAAAAATTCATAATATCTAGTTTTAACATTGGATTTCCATTTGTAACATTTCTTACAACTGAATAATTCTATTAAAATAATCCCATTGCAAAAAAAAACAATCTATTTTGATTACAATTAAAAAGATATAAAACTAATGTATTATCAATAAAAAAGATTGATATTTGATATTTGAATGTTATTTTGTTTTTAATAGTGAAGGTAGATTTAATGGAATCCATTTATGAGTTAAAGTCTATTCACTTAGTTTGCCAATGTTCCGTGAAGCCCCTTTTAGAGTGCGCAACACGTGCGAACACATACGACTTTCTGAGCGCGACTCATGCGATTACACGATTAAACGCAACAAGTAAATAGAAGTGTAAGGAAGCTTGCATCGAGAAACAGAGAGAAAAAGAAATAACTGGGCGAAATATAGCTAGAAATATAGCTACCGTAAATTATATGATTTTTGTGTAGAAAAGAGCTGCTGAGTTTTTTACATATAAAAGTATTGAATATACATTGTCGTAAAAAATAAATAATAAAAATTTAACAACCACGAAAAATTATCGTGGAAAATTCCTAAAAATCTGTAGTAAGGATAATCGCGCTTAAACTATATTACGTATAGTTATGAATACAAAGCACCACCGACATTAAAAAGAAAGCAATATGTATTAAACAAAAACTTGGTAAAATTGAAGAGATTATTGATTTTTTGAATTACCATGATAAACAACACAATTGCGTTATGTCAAACCATAACAGTTGAGTTCTCAGAGAATCATATTGGAATTTATAGCGAGATTTGTGTGAACGTGACCACCTTACCTTAAGCTGATGTTGCGGTCGTCTGAGCGCGCCTTGGTCCCGTCGCCCGCCCAGTCGATCGGCTTCCGCTTCCAATCCCTCCATCGAGGACTCCGCTTCGCTCAGCCAGGCCAAGAACTTGTCTAGAGACCGGTCGAAGTTGTGGAGCGAGTTCATCGCGGAGTGCAATAGTTTCCCCCGATTGATGATGCTGGAAACGGATCGGTCGATACAGTATTACATCCGTGATTTACAGTTTGATTCGAAGCGAAGTTCCTTAACTCGAAACGCTATAGAAACGCGAATGAAAGCTCCACAGCAAGCGCATAATGTGTACACAAGTACTTAATTGCAAATTGTTTATTACCAAATATCAAGTAAATTTGTTTTCAAAGAAAATGTTATTTATTGCTATCTTTCGTAATTTGTAGTTTTTAATATTAAATATATTAAAAATTAAACGCGCTACAATCTAAAAAATAAATGTAGCAAATCAATCAAGAAATAAGAATTTATCTATTTACATTTCTCTTTCGCTTTTGTTAGCTATAATATAAAAAAAGAAAATAATTGATTTTCCAAATCATTGTGTAAGTGTGAAATAATGCTATATTTGCGTTTCATCAAATTATATGCACTATCCGTAGTTTAAATTAATTCCATTAATTATTTAATTAATACGTTCAAATTAATATCTTAATAAATATTTAATATATACAAGTATTGTAATATATATGTTGTAACAATTATAGATATATACCTGTATATAAAGAGATGCGCAGGATATGTAAAAATATATATTGTAAATATATATTCTCTTCACTCTTGAACTCATGTAAAGCAGTTTCAGGTTAAGTTAGCAGCAAATATGACAAATTATAACTAAAATATTTTTGTTACAAAAATATTATAATTTGCTTCATTTGTAACTAACCTTGTAGCTAAAACTGTTTTACATCAATTTAAGTGAAAAATCGATAAATACTGCAAACCCGCATTTAATTACACGCACTACCGAACGAAAGTCAACCCGCACAACTTTACTTTGGAAAAATACAAATTTACATCGCCAATTCGTCGCATTACAGCACACAAAGCACAAACGCAAAATAAAGCAACGCGTATACGCACGATTTTTGTCATTCTATACTTTCAGCGATTTATTCGTCACTGTATCCGAATAGCGAGCTAGCAAGTGAAATCAGCGACTATCTGGCGTCACGTACAAATACGCGTACAACTACAACAATGCTTTATTTCATTTTCAGTGATTCCCGGCTACATTTTTGAAATGCTATATCTAATGAGAAGTACGCCGCGCGTATAAAACCTGTAGCATCAGAATGTGATCGATTTCACCACACAGTACTGATCGACGAAACACCGTTAATCGCGAATATCCATAGGTAAATAATACGTTCCGACAATCACCCGTTACTTTAATCGGCACTCCCGATAAAAATTCACATTATTATATACTTGTAACAAATAAAATACGCGATTAATTACGGAATATTCGCACTCTACGTTCCGATCCGACGCGGGATAAAGTGTCATGGCTGCGAGGTGATGCAGCGCCACATAGCGCCGAAATGTTCACATAAGCCAGCCGCGTATGAATACACGGTTGCCACTACAAGTGAGTGGCGCGAAATACGAATATGTATTCTCAATATTAAAATATTATGTATTATAAACAACTAAAATATTAAAATAAAAATTTAATGTTTTCAATATGTTTTTTAACAATCTACAAGGTAAGTAATTGGCAATATCTTTTTTTGGAAAAATATAAAATAGATAAAAATTTATATATAATAAACACAAAAAAGACGATATATCAGTATACATGCATGTGATTATATTTAATATATTGTATTATAATATAACATGTATTGTAATATAACAATAAATTCCAAAATAATTCAAATTTAATTAATATGTTTCAATTCGCAAATATTTCGTGAAAAATAAATATACATAATTTTATTTTAAAACATTCACAAAATTATAATAAAATTTGTAAATAAAAATAAGTATAATTTTTAAAGAAAAATTTAACACAAATATATATAGAGATTTTATGTATTTTATATATTCATATAATATGTGCTCTGTTCCATAAATTTTAAAATATTTTATTCGCATTTATATTATGATTATTAAAATAAAACGTATATGCCAGTCTATCTATATATAAAATTTGAACATGTTTATACTATTTTCATACTTTTACACATAAATTTTTATTTAAAAAAACAAATTTTTAACGTAAATCCGTGATTTTCAAAAGTAAAGTGCATAATTTGACTCTCGTTTGGTAATAACTAATTGTAAGTACAGATATTAATCGATTCTTCGATAAAGTAAAACAGTTTAAAGCAAAATCTGTAGCAAGTAAAGTAAACTGTAATAACTGACGAGTACAATTATTTGCTTGTCATTTAAATATGTATATAATTTTGATAACACAAACATTACAATTTGCATTTATTAAATATTCATTAAGATATTTAATTCCGCCCGACTCCTCTCATATCACATAAGTTTAATAATCGATAAAATCGCATGTCACAGAAGAACATGTTAAAAGATTGTGGAAAATGTTAGTCGAAAAAAAGAATTGCAAATAAGTACTCACCTCGTGTTCAAATTGTTATATCGCTGATTGATCGTCTCCGTCATTTTCTTGACACGTGTAGTATCGTCCTGCTGATAAACCGCTATCAGCTTCTGAGTAAGCTGATTAAAAAGTTCGATGTGGTGCTTGTACTGATGCAGCTCAGCGTGGAACGACTACGAAAAAAAGAAAGAAAACGATATCGTGAAATCGAAGAAGGTGAGCCAACGGGCAAAAAAAGGAAACTTATCTAACTCCAGCTTCGTATCGAGTTAGAAGAAGCCGTGCCTCTTTTGCACTCGAGTCTCGATAAGTCGGCAAAGTTAAATCTTTGCAGGGAGGTGCAGCTAAAGTTTTACGCCGATATATTGTGCGGCGCAACTTTTCTCTGTGTATCCGCCGGCACTGATTGGCCCCGATCAAGCTTGCAAAGTGCGCATTGAGATAAAACTATCGTATAAATAATATGCACTTTCGAAACAAGCAAATATTCGGAAAAAACAATGCATACAAAGATGATTGAATAAAATATTCGTGAAAACAGAATTAAATAAAATATTAATCGAATGCGTTATCCTTTCAAAGTAACGACGAGGTAAGCGTTACATCGGACTGTGCTTTCATTTTGAAATCCATTCAGAAGACACGCGAAGTTCGAAAGAAGCACTACTACTCAAAGGCAACGCGACAGAGCACACGGCCGCGGGGAAATAAATTATTCCATGAATATCTCATTTAGCTCTTTTGAATCTAAACAGAGCTCCTCGCGCGTGATGTGCTTCGCCAGCTGAGATATCGTTGATTGAGATGTTGGAAGCACCGTTTTCTATCCCGCAGCAACTTTTTTTCAGAGCACGTTGTACTCTCGTATGCAAAGTGAGAGAAGATTACTAAAAAGAGCTCATTACCGAGCAGATAAATTCCAAAGTGCTGGACTCTCTTTAATTCTGCTTACAAAGTGAAAAAAAGTTCCTGACTATCGAAAAGCAGCCACGATTTTCGAATAATAATGCAAAAAGATTTCATATTTTTAAGACGCTCCTATACTATTCATACTAAATGTTAAGATCGTTTCGCATAATTACGATACAATAAATTCCAATATAATATGTATAAATAGAAAACATAATTTTTCTAATGTTAAAAGTTATTCACATAGATCCATCTTGCACGTGTACAAAAGAGACCGTAATTCACCAACTTTTCTAGTGTCGTATAACGAAATGGTATTGGTTAGCAGATACATCTCGTTCAATACCAGTATACTCCCGACACACAAGATGAAAAATGTGCTGTCGAAACATCCTGCCGTAAAAATAACGTAAAATAAGCCGCGCCGTAGACAATAAACAGAAAAATATATCGCGTAAAGAGAGAGTATCTACCAAAGACTGAAAGTGGAAATTCCATTTAAATTATGACAAGATCAAGCAAGGGAAAACCGTTGTTATATTATAATTGACATCTTTCAACCCATAAATTTATCCTCTTCACAACACTTCAGCGACAATGTTCCATAATTCAGTATTTCACACTTCAACTGAATAATCCATTAATGTTTAATAATTTGCGGTCATACAAATTTGTCGATATTCATCAATCAATTCGCATTTCAAAATTACTCAACATTTCCAACACTCGATAGTCGAAATATACAGAGGTATTATCACGTCCTCGCGTTGTGTTTCAACGTCTTTTATCTCACTATCTACTAAAGACACTTCTCACGCACGGTACTAAAAACTCACCAACTCGAAGGGTTAACGCGGTTACTCGTGGGAAGACGGAAAGAGAGTTCGACGTACCTTTTGTTCCCTGAGCTGTGCTTCGAGTACGTCGGCGGTGTGCCCAACAGCTCGCATTCTCTCGAGTCGAGTTTCCATTCGCGCCAACCAGACCTCCACCTCATTTCTCTTCGCCTCGTATCGCTGACTGTCTCCCAGCATCATATCCAGCTGCGTCTTCCTTTGCATGACTTTTGAATTCGTCTCGTCCCAGTGCTCTCTTAGCTTAGTAACTGCAACAAACGAACGACACGATGAAAGTATGCTATTACGTCTTATATATAAAAATGTTGCTTTTTAAATACTTGTAAGAGTAAAATGTCAATCATCGCAAATATATGCGATACTGAAATTGCGTGACTTACTTTGCAAATTACATTCTAAAATAAGGGCCCTATAAAAAGTATTATTTGAAAAGTATTCTTCATTAAATTATAAATATTTATTTTTGAATAACTTTATCGTGTTGCACCGAGTTTTGAAATTAAAATTTTGTTGTCAAGAATGACTTCCTAATTGTATAAAAAATATAATTAATATAATTAAATTGAAATGAATATAATTGAGAAACATTATATGTTTAAATTTCCTGAATTCTTCGGAAATAAATAACAGTTATTTCGCAAACTGCGTCAATGCGCGAAAATATTCAAAATGAAATATTCTACGCTTTAGAAGCGTCAAATTATCAAAATACATTGAATTATTGAAAGCAGCAGAAGACTTTAATATTATAAAATATTACCTCACGCGCAGTGATACTTCTTATTTAATGTTATATATCTCAAATCAACACCTCACTCAAAATTTAGATAAAATGTTAATTGAGAAATATTACAAATGGCAGCGCTGACGCTAAAAATTTATTATTTTTTTCACTTTAATTATATCTCATTATAACCAACCCTTCCGTGTAATTCTTAAAACTAAAACCAGATGCTACGTTGAAATTTGTACCATACGGGAAATATCAACTGGAAACAATCCAAACCATAATGGCAAGTTAGGGAGCACAGCTGGATAAAGCAGGTGCAAAACATTGGCAACGATTCAACATCCGCAACAACAAAATCCGCACGCGTGAACATTATGTCCGTATACCTTTAAGAATGCACCTTATATGCGCGATGTTTCGAGAGCGCATGTCATCAAACAGCACGGAAACTAAAATAAAAAGAGTTTTGTAGCACAACGATATTTTTCTATTAAAAAAACAGCGATTTTGTAAAACCTATATATATCCAAATGTAAATATTATTTCAAAAAATTAAATATTACATTAAATTCTTTTAAAAAATTATTTTAAAAAAAGATAATAAAATCGATAAAAACGGTTAAAATAAAATTTAATTTTAATTTTAATTAAAGCATTATTCTGATACAAAATTACATTTGTACCTTTTCAATTAAGCGTATTTATTTCAAATATTGCTTTAATAAAATAATAGAAAAAGAGAAAGAAAAAGAGAACGCAATATTAAATTTTAAATTGTGTGTATTGCGTGTAATAAAAAAATATCATGGCACATAGAATATTTTCAAAATTATAAACTTCAAAATAAAATTCCTTTTCCTATATATTTTTGAAATATTTTAATTTATTTTTTTATATAACTCAATAACATTTCCTTTTCATAATTCTATGATAATAAATTTAACATCATAAAACAATTTTTTAATTACATTGTAATGTATTAATTAAACGTTTAGGAAAATCCTACATTTGCGTAAGTAAGTATATACGCTCGAAACAGAAGACAATTATTCAGGGAGAAAATAAACGTCGTGTTCTGTGGGCTGATATAATCCGGGAACTCGCACATGGTTGTGCGCAATGTAGCGAATCTCAAAGGGATATAAGGGACACGCGTCCTCCATGTCTCGAAGTTGTACTATCTCTAAAATGGTTTAAATAATCACTCTGTTTCAAAAGCTATACTCGATGATATATTTGGCCTGTCTGTTTGATATTAAAAGGCACGGTCATATCTCGCGAAAAAAAAAGAAGTGTATTATTACGTTTTCAACAAATTGAGAAGAGATGAGATTATCAAATCTCAGTTACACTTGTGTCGATCGAGCTGTTAATATTGGCTTAATCGATATCGAATGTACATAGTCAGGAACATTGAACGCTATTACCTCGGGTGGATAGTTAGATGGAGATTAGTAGGAAGGGGAAACGCCAATCTAACATCCAAGAAAAAATGAAAAAATAAAGAATGTAATAAATACTTTTTGGAAAGTGATGGAGATACCCGAACGGATAACTGTCAATACTCCCGATTGTACAATATATGTCGTAAAAGTATTTTTATTTTGATTCGATTATACACGCCTGGAATATTTTTAATAAAAAAAAAACTTCAATGAGAATAAATGAATTGTAACAGAGTACAGTGAATACGCTGCGAAATCACGTACAATTTGCATCGCAAAGGATTCGCAATCTTACATATTCATGTGCTTACTGTATTAATAGTTTCCACTATTTCCAAAGTTCTAGCTGTTCCGTTTAACCATACGCTACCCACGCGTCGCATCCATTATTCAAATATATTAAATGACACACGACATGCATATAAACCAAGCACGACTGCAATAATTCAGTCAGGAACAAGTGTCGCCGCATAATTCGACCAAGGTGCGATAAATAGGGATTCAAAGGACGGATTTCAAATGTGCATACGTATGCCGATTTTTCAAAAGACTTAGTCACCCCGTTAAAGAATGTCGCCGTTAAAGAAAGATGAGGGTGTTGTCTACGTACTCTCAATGGCTTTCAATGACTTTCAATGGCTTATTACGAGAGCAATTCGCTCTCATCGACTCCCATGCACTTCGGCCTCTGTTATAAAGCCGCCCTTAAAGTGTACTTTTCTGCCTGCAAGCACATTACAAGCATAGAGATCAGTCGAGAAAGATTTACAGACGACACTTCCTCCGATAATTCCACATTCTAACAATGATTTGACGCGATAAATGTGTCGATATCAGTTTAATTAAATCCCGATTCGACCATATCGACATTCTGTTAGAAAATTTATGAAATTCTTGAAACTCATGATAGCAAAACGTTAAAAATCATTTTCTATAATAAATAAGTAATTTACCTTAATGTTTTAAAGCACTTTACAATTAATATTCTAACTAATGTTTATTTTAGATAATATTTTATTTTAATAAAAATTTATAATACCAATATGAATTTATTAAAATTAAGAGTTGCTTAAAATCATGTATATATAACTACATGTTTTCATATGTTTATATCAAACATATTTGTATTTTCTTTTCACATATACTGTATGAAAATAGAGAAAAAAAAGGAGATACAAAATGCATCTATCTCTTCTGTCCTTTACAATATATGAATCAACCATTATGAGCGATTGAATGTTGTCAGATCCGCTAATATTAAAAGAGATTAATGCATTTCCTTGCTTGAGGAGACTTCAAATACGAACACATCTCGCATCAATATAAATAAATATTTACACGAAAAATATATTAATTAAATATTTTATTAGCAAGAAAAAGTAAATCTTTTAATATATAGTTTTCTAGTCTTTATATATTGCTTAGTGAATACAACTAATACGTCTTGTTAATTTGTGATGAAAAATGATAAATTGTCTGAGAATAATCGTAATGCAAAATCAAAGAGTGATGTGCATCATCTCTCACACAAGTAGATTTATAAGAGTTATTGGAAGAATAATATATGCAACACATCATGGAACCTGCAATGAGTTATCGGCACACCTGAGTCTGCCAACAACCTCGCAGCTAACACACACACACACACACACATGTTGCACTAGCTAGTATAGATTATGGAAAGTCATATATATGCAAGTACTGACGAGCGCATATTCACTAGGGAGTCACAAAGTTGCCAAGAACGCATTGTCTACGAAACTATCGAGATTCACGGTATCACTGGAAGACCGCGTCGTGAAACTAATGGCTCAAAAGTTGCTTCTCTCGCAATCGACTCATTAATAAATTGTGAAGTTCCAAACTTTACCTCGAATACATAAATGAAACGCAAACATATTTCGAAAATACAGTTCTCGAGTTTTGGTATAAACAGTAAAGTTTGCTTCAATATTATTATTATTGTTATTATTATCGTTATTATTATTATTATTATTATTTAACATTGTCTAAAATCGTCCACTATAAAGCGTCATTATTCCAATAGAAAACTAATATGATACATTATCCCTAACAATATCACTTATTATCTAGTTTGACAAAAAACATACTTTGACGGTTGTTAGAAGTCGGATCAATATTTTATATTATCAGTATATTTTTCAGCAAAAATAGCAGAAATGAAACATCTATTACATCTTAGACAGATTTCTCTTTCTCTCTCATCTCTCTTTTATTATCATGACATTTAATGCATCATTATTAAATTGTGATGGATAAGTAAATGCATTCAAATGGAACGTTTTCATGACGTAATAAAATGAATAATGAAATATTAAATTTTAACTCTTGAAATGAGATGCGGCATAATCATAAAATGATGTCAATTTATTCTTGCTAAAGAAAGATAAGGATAAAATAACAAATTAACAGAAATAAACGTATTTGTCATACTAATTTTCGATGCACATTCGTTGTAATAACTGCATAATGAATGTATATTTGGACATATTCATTTATATATAAGTGTATTATTTATATATAAAGCAACATAGATTCTATAAGAAGAGTTATTGTTTCAAGAGTTATTCATTAATTGCTTTTCCAATTGGCAATTATCAAATAAAAATGTATTAAAATATAGATAATAATCACACATACCAAACAATGAATTTATTACAAACAATATGACGACTAATACTATACTTCACATCATAATTATATAAAAACCGCGTGATTAATTCACGTATGTTATGAAGTATCATCTTAATTCACATGACGACGTTAACGCTGTCGAAAGTGCAAACATTACGAACGAATCGAAACGTAGATAACTGCGACAGCAGATGCCGTGCCGAATAACGCTCAACTCCCTATAAACTTCGTTAACTTGACTTCTCTAAAGATTTCTACGGAGCCCTACAAGTGGATTACGTTCGAACGCGGCCTGACGAAGTTAGCTGAAAGTTACACGCTTTGTTCATTGTTGTTCCGCATGGTAGTTTGAAGCCGCGGTATCTCGATCTCGAGACAAATAAAGATAGAGTTGCTCAGCTAACGAAAGGCAGCGAGC